CACCAACGTAGAAACTGGCTATGATAAATGGTTTAGTTTTCTATTTAACAAAAGCAAAACAAAAACATCCCAGCTGAGGCAAAAGATACTTAATGAAGGAAATATTTCTAGTAATACTGACAGTCAAGATTTGATAAGACAAAGGTTGAATTTTCTCACCCACCCACTCCAAGTATTTGTTTATAATTTAATGGGTCCTGAATTGCTTTTATTTTAGTTTCTGGGGTACTTTACTTTAAAAATACACCTTGTTTTCTTTTTGAGGAAGGGCCTTACTGTGTAGCTCAGGCTGGTCTTGAACTTTCAATCCTGCCTCAACCGCCTTAGTGCTGGGATGAGAAGTATTTTTTTGCCACACCTGGCTTACTCTTTAAAGCTTGCTCATCAAAGTGAGATTCAGCACAGTGCTGACTCCAGCTGTCTGTTATGCCCTGACACTTGTCTTCAGTAAGTGTTTGGAAAGTGAATCCATATAGTCAATCTTATTTCACCTCTACCCTTTCTTAAGAAGAGCAGGAAAGGGTGCATTTATTGCAGGACAGTGACTCCAATTAGATCTAGCTGAGTGGTTCTGCCAAAGCAGAGGTCCAGATGGTGGTGGCCAGCATCCTGACCCCACAGGACTGCAATACTGTGCCCACAAAACACAGTCTCAGTTCTTAGCTGATTTCAGAATCTCTTCTCTATTGGATGCTTTGGCCCAGGTTCAGTGTTCTGAAGGCTGGGGTCCTGGAAAGGTGACCAAGAGAAACAGCTGTACTTCTCAGATTGAAGAGTTTAGGTACCAAAGAAGGGATCCATTTCCTAAAGAATCAGCTCTGCATACTGTTTGTGTTTTTATAGTCGATGGAATCCCACTGAAATGGGCCAACAGCCCATGGAAAATAGATGATACAGAGGCCCAAAAGTTCAGTGTCTTGCCACAATAAGAGGAAGATCATCCCACACCTACCACCCCCTCCAAGGCTCAGGGACTTTTGTGGAAGAGGTTGGTGGAAAGAATGTAAGAGCAGGAGGAAGGGATGGAGTATTAACTGGAAGTGTCCTCTGACCACTATGCCAGCAAGCCATAGTCACGTCCCCTTCCCATGCTCCCATGCTCCTCAAGGAGTCCATGGGGGAGTCAGTTACCCTTCCCACCCAATCAGTTGACCTTAGCTGCATTGGGGAAGGGACTAAGGATATATAAGCTGAGAACACCATGAGGCACCTCTTTCATTTGTGCTACTGTTGGGATGTCACAGGATCTATATTTGAGTGTGGATGTTTCAGGGCAGCTGAAAATGGGGGGCACACCCACCCTTCTCTGAACCCCCAACCTAGGCTCTGTTAGCAAGCCCAATAAACTTGTCAGGATTTTCCAAACAAAACAAAACAACAACAACAACAACAAAAAACAGAACTAATGGAAACCTTCATTATTCTACCAAAGTTGACCCATGTTGGCAAATCTTTTGGTCTTTGATTTCTTATTCCTATTTTTCCCCCTTAAACTTCATTGAATATAGATTTTTATGTAACCTGCTTCAAGTTATTTCTGGAAAAAATATGTTAAAATGGTCTCTTTTTGGAAATATATATGGCATAAGGAAAAAAAAGTCAGCTTTGCAAATCCTAACTAAAACTGAGCTTTCCTAAGACAAGCAACTCAGACTGGAATGAAGGGGCCACAAGAGAAGGGAAGGGAGCCAGAGCATGTGTCAGAATGGGGTGAAAAGTAGAGATGGAATCTGTGGAAACATCCATGAGCACTTTGCCTAATTCCACGCAGCATAGCATGTGAACCCTTCAATAAAGCACTGTTGGGCTATTGGGCAGATGGACTGACTCTTTAAAATCAACTTCTCAGGACAGACATGGTAGTGCCCGCCTGTGATCCCAGTACTCAAGAGTTAGAGAGAATCCTCAGTTACACAGCTAATTCCAGGCCAGCCCAGGCTACTAGGGACCCTGTCACAAAACACACAAGCCTGCTTTTCAAACAGAACTGGCCAGCAAGGTGAGGATGGGGAGGGAGTCCAGGTCATAGTGATGAGCCCTGAGGCTGGAACTGGTCCATCTGTCACTGAACCCTCACTGAAGTCCAGAGGGTTCCTAACTTCTCTGAGACTCAGCTCCTCTGTTTGCCAAACAGAGTTTGGATTATGAGACTTCTACGCATCTCTTCAATGGTGTCACTGGCTGTAACAATGTGCTTTTGTGCCTGATTAGAATGGGACTTTTGTGACACAAAGGTCAGTTACAACTTCGTAGAGGAAAGCATGCTGGCTTAGTGTGACAGGGAAGACAGAGACCATATTTACACTCTAAATGTGGAAGCACAGATGAACATTTCAAACAGCAAACTTACTAAGTGGGTTTTTTTGGGGGTAAAACAGGGGTGTGAGATGATGAACTGGAGGCTTTTGTTTTTATCCCTCCCACCCTTTCTCTAATTTTTTTTTGAGTCAGGGTCTCCCTGAAGCCCCAGTTGGCCTGGACTTCACTATGTAGACCAGGCTGGCCTTGATCTTACAGAGATCTGCCTGCCTCTGCTTCCTGAGTGCTGAGATTAAAGGCATGTGTCACCATGCCCAACTAAGATCTTACAGAGATCTGCCTGCCTCTGCTTCCTGAGTGCTGAGATTAAAGGCGTGTGTCACCATGCCCAACTAATTTTTCTCTCTTTCTTTCTTTCTTTCTTTCTTTCTTTCTTTCTTTCTTTCTTTCTTTCTTTCTTTCTTTCTTTCTTTCTTTCTTTTTTTTTTGATACAAGGTCGCAGGTAGTCCAGGCTGGCCTCAAACTTTCTGGGTAACTGACAATGACTTTGAACTTCTGACCCTCCTGCCTCCACCTCCTGAGTGCTGGGATTACAGGCATATGACACCACAACTGATGGGGATCAAATTTAGGGCCTTGTGTATGCTATGCAAGCTCTCTACCAATTCAGTTACATCTCTTGCCTTTCTTCCTGTAATCTTTTACTATCCATTCTTCCCCCTTATCTTCTCTGTAACCCTTCCTCTCCTCTCCTTGTGCTGGTGTGAATTGGTTGATATAAAAGAAAACAGAGATGCTGTTCCAGGAAGTCCACATCCAGATGGACTTTCAGTATGAGAGGGATTCCACAAAGCACAGGGATTCCTCTACGCCTGGTTTCCCTATCTTTCTGTACCTTCTTGTGCCCCAAAAAACTCTGTACCTCTGATCTCTGGATGATGGAGATTTGAGATGGCCCTGAACAAATCTGTTTCCCCACTAACTTTTGTCTCCAAAGCAGCAGGCCTTCATGATTCCAGTAACGCTAGGATGAGTTTCATTTCTGATTCTTTCTCATAAACTGTATGACCTTGAGGAAGTGAGTAAACCTCTCTGAGCCTCAGTTTCTTAATCAAATAGTGAATCTAAAAGCATTTTAGAACTTTAATGGCCTACAAAATGCGATAGATTATTATCATCATTGCAAAACTTTTTTAGCCTTTCTAAGAACCTCCTGGTAAGAAGCAAATTAATTCAACAGCTTGGAGCAAGGGTTGTTTACAAGGCAGAAAGACTATTTTCATGGTGTAGACTTCCAGTGCCACATGCCACCTTCCCTGTAAGCTGTACAGAGTGAAGGTCTGGGAATATAACTCAGTGGTAGAGTGCTTGCTTAGTATGCAAGAGGCCCTTAGTTCAATCCCAAGCACCAAAAAAATAAAAACTAAGAAGTTCAAACACATACATCAACAACGATGATTTTCTTCATCATCAAGATGCAATAACCACCTCTGCAAATAGACATCTCAAAGGCCAGCAGTATCAACATGAAGGTTGAAATAAACACACGGTTATACTTAAGATGGTAGTATCTATTCTCAAACTTTCCAAAATGTTCTTACAACTCACACTAGGACCAGAAGCAGATCTAGACCTTCATCTGGAAACTGAGGATCTGGTTTTAGGCCCATCCTTTGCAATTTCCATTAGAAAAAGGGAATAAAAGTGCTTGTCAGATTAAGTTATTTTAAAAGTTTCGTAGGGATGGTGGTGGCTGGACAGATGGCTCAATGCTTAGGAGCACTTGCTGTTCTTGCAGACGACCAGAGTTCAGTTCCTAGCACCCACATCCAGCAGCTCACAACCTCCTATAACTACAGTTCTGGGGATCTGAAGCCCTCTTCTGGCCTCCACAAGCACCTGCACTCATGTGCACATACCTACACACAGACACATCATCCACACACATCACATACTTTTTTTAAAGTTTCATAAAGGAAGTATGCATTATTAAGTCACAATAACCATTCACATATCAAGATAAAACCTCCCTCCCAAAATAAAGTTAAGAATGATATCAAGACAAACGGAAGTCAACTCCTAATACACTCAGTGAAATAGAGCAGGTCTGCATCTCCTGCAAGTTGTGATTAGGGTTAATTCTTGATTCATGCCTATTTCAACTTCAGCCTTACCAATGCTCTGAAATACAAAATCAACCTCTTGGTATTGTAATTAGTTAAACTTCAATGTATTTTATTTTAGAACGCTGTGTCTACAGAGTCAAAACGAAACAAAACAAAAAACATATAAAGATGTTTCAGTCAATGGATTTAGGGCAATTACCAGAAGAAAATGAGACTCTTGTCATCAGCAATAGATTTGGGGATAACTGCTAGGAATACAATTCTACCAGTCAGGCTACACTGCCTGTTCTTTCTTAGACACAGAACTGATGAGTAGTAATTGATTTAATCCTCTGAGTCACATCCATCTTCTATATAGTTTCTGCACAAAAATATTTACTACACTTTTCATTGAGTCACATGGGAATGAGTGTGAGTTGGCTGCCTAATAACAAATCGTCCTGTGTGATCTGAGGTGCTCTCTTGCACCAGTGATAAAATGGGTTGTAACTGACAGAGGAAGAAGACTGCTTCACATTCATCATGCAGACTAAACCAGCCCCTCCTGGGTGTCCCACAGTCCCACACCCCTGCGAGCCACATGGCTGGCTTCCCTAGGGCAGCGGACCCTTTACCTTCTTGCACGCAGATGGGTCTATCACTTGGGATCCAGCCTAGGGTTCCATTAAGATGTTTCATACACAGTCTCTTCGTAGAGCCCTTCAACTTGAATCCGTCTTGGCAGTGAAATCGGGTTACAGAGCTTTCAAAAAAAACTCCTCCACTGGGGGTCCGGAAGCCATTCTCTGGGACACCTGGGTCAGCACACACCTGAAGGTCATCGAATCCTAATGGACATAGAGAGAAAAGGTGTCTTGAATATGTTCTCTGGGAACTGTATTATTTCCTATCCTGTCACTTGGGCCACTTCAGCCTTATCAGTAAAATCAAGAGCATAAATATCCTGGCACGCACTTCACTATATAGAAGCAGCCAAGTTTGAGGAAGGCTCTTCCATGTCCACAATGTTCCAAATATGCCTTCAATGGGACGGATGGACATGCCCAAGCCCTGAAAAGGCAGCCTACTTGCTTTCTCTACAAAGCAAGAAAATTCAGTTCATAACCCCTCACTAAGCAGTTACCAAGAACCACTTCACGCAACTCTGTGGAGATGGGGTTGGTGTGCCCATCTCCCCTTCCCCAGCACAGTCTGCTGTTCCAGCACTGGTCTCAGCCTAGACCCAGAAGGCAGTATGCATCACTGGGGCTCTTGGATGATCTACCTGCTTCCAGCTGCTGCCTGGATGCTGGACCAATCAGGTCCTACCCCTCTTTGACACTCTGAGCTGCTAAAGGTCTACAGTTGTTGGTGACACCCCTTACCCTGTGTGCATATATCAGACTCACACTCCCTCCCCGCTGGCCTCATAGCTCTAGACACTCTGTCAGGGTCATGGTGCTAAAGGCCTCTCAGCATGGGAGGTGCAGTGGTGGCAGGGTGTCTGGAAGTCACTGTCAGAGCTCCCTCTGTGCAGAGATGATGAGGAATTGTGGAGTGAGGGAACAGCTAAGAGGGAAGAGGGTGCAAGCACATGACACTACTCAAGTATCAGCAAGTCTGATAGTGCATCAAAACAACGTGCCACCGTCCAGGCATCAACAGTGCCCGTCCAGCAAAGGGGCACTGGAGAGTCATGTATGGCTTTGTGTGTGTACTCTGAGGGAAAGTGCTGTATATGTCAAGTGCTTCCTAAGTGAGGGATGTCACGATTCCCTCTGGAAGGATGTACATTCTCCCTTTTAAACAAATGTATGTTATCAATGCTACTGAAGTTGTTCAAATTAGCAGCAACAGAATTCATGATGTCATCATAGCCTAGAAGGTGTCCTAGAAGCACAGGTATCTTGAGCCCCCAAACTGGGGTGACTGGACATTTTTGGCAGTCTGGAGGGAAAAGTCATTCTCTCTCTAAGTCAGACAGAACTAGTCTCTGCTCTAATTGTATTGGGATGGGGTACATGTGTGTCACTGGATGCCACAGAAAGGCAAGAGAAGCATGCTGTCCCAGAGGATGGGGAAGCCTCTGGAAGGCCTCCAGCTGTGACCTTAGGAGAATAGACATGTCATCCAGAAAGGAAGATGGGCACTATGGGTTCAGGTCAGAAGGCGGCAACGAGGGGCTGTGGGAATGGGGCAGGCACAGGGAGGAAGGGACACAGGGATGGTGGGCAGAGGGAAGAGACATAGTGGGGAGGGAAAGCGGGGAGGAGACAAGCGGGGGACATACAGTGGAGGGGGGAAGGAGGAAGGGGGCAGGGAGAGGGGATGTAAGGAGGTAGGTAACTGTTGAGCTATTTCAGGAAAGAGGTGGCTCTACCAGCCCTTGGGTAAAGGACATCAGCTGTAGATGGGGCACTGCAGGCAAGTGAAGGAGATGAGGGCAGGAGCCTGTGGGTTGGTCTGGATGCAAAGGAGGGAAATATGGGGCAGGGCAGGACTATAAGCTTTGAACAGGAGTAGGATTAGGATCAGCCTTGCATTTTAAGGTCACTTATCTGACATCTATACAGAGGACTGGTGGGTATGGCCAGCAGTGGGTGGGAAATCACCCAAAGTGCTCCCAGACCCAGTTGAAGTAGCTGGGGGTAGAGGGGTTCCAGTGGTGACACTTTTACAAAGCTTTCCAAATGACTCCTGGGTAGCCAGGCCAGCACTTGCCTGAGAGCCAGCTCATAAGAACCACAGTATTTCAAGGCTACTATTTCAATTCAGGAGGGAATGGGTGAGTTGGAAAGAGGGCAGGGACACTGAACAAAGAGTGTCACCAGAGACATGAAGGACACAGTCACAAAACCTGGTGGACAACTGAACAGGATAGGAACCAGGTCAGCAGAGTGAGTTAGAAGAGGGGTTTCTAGGATACTCCCCAGCTCTGACCCACATGACAGGGTAGATAGTGGTGCTATGTACTTAGAGTGGCAGAGTGGGATGAAGAATGGGTCCCAGGAGGAAGAGGAGGGGTTCAGCATGCATTCTCAGAAATGTGTGGGCTACTCTGGAGAACCAACTAGAAGCTCCTTAGGGCCCTATACTATTTCATGCCCAGGCAGCAAATGAAGCCACTGTTGGCATACTCCCAGGATTAGGACAGTGTGAGGACAAGAGCAGCTGAGGACACTTAATGAAGTGACACCAACCAAGGACATGGAGACTTAAGGGCCATCGTGAAGGAGGACCTGCCCAGTGACCCTGAAACAAGGGAGAGTTTCAGGAAGGAAGGAATGCGCAGCACGTCAGACTTCATTCACTGGTCAGCTAAACAAAGCAGAGCCCAAACGCATCCATAGCTAAAGACAGGACACTGGGACCACTATCCAGGCATCTTAAGGGGCAGGATGAAACTTGTCTGCTGATGTTTAAAGAGGGGGAGTGACAGTAAACGTGACTTCTCACTCAGGAGGCTCATCGTGAACAGAACACTAGGTAGCTATCTTCGAAAGACGGTCAAGGCAGTGCTTTTACTACTGTTGCCTGTAGTCCCACGCACTCTAGAGGCTGATCAGAGTGAGTGTGAGGCCAGCCTGAGTTACACAGTGAGTTTCAAGCTAGCCTGGACTACAGAGTAAAACACTACCCCCCCACAAAATATCTTGAGATAAAAGAAATCTAAGCCTCTCTATACAATAGGGGAAAACACGGGAAAATGGAAAGCCGCAGCTGAGGAGGAGTGAGGGAGCCACGGGAGTGCAGTAAGCTGTTGCCACCTGGATGTGGGCAGGGAGGAGGGACTTATCTTCCACTGCCACACCCATGACTGAGGGAAGGACATTCACATAACCCAAGCTTCCTTAGAGTCTAAACAAGAGGTTTCTCTTCCTATCAGGGCAACCCTGGTCTCACCTTTCAAGGTTTTCTTTACCCTGTTAATGACTGTTGGTCCACTGACCTACTTCCTCTGCTGGTCTGTGGAAGCCTACGTGGGAGACTTGATGTTCCTCATCTCCTCAGCACCCAGCATTGTGTGTAGCTTATGGCGACCATTCCACAAGTACTGCTAGTGAAAGATGGGTGTGTGGATGTGTAGATGGATATAGAATGGGTGGGTAGAAGTGTGGATGGGTAAGTAGATGGATAGGTACATGAATAAATAGGTGGATGGATAGTTGGATGGGTGGGGTAGATGTGTGAATGGATGGGGAGATGAGTAGATAGATGGATGGTATGGTACATCAATAAATAGATGGGTAGATGGTAGATAGGTGGATGGATAGATGCAAAGACGGATGGGTGAGTAGATGTGTGAATGGATAGATGAATAGATGGATGGGTAGGTAAATGCGTATAAGGATGAATGACAGATGAATAGATGGATGGGTACATCAATAAATAGATGGGTAGATGGACAGATTTATAGGTGGACAGATGAGTAGATATGTGAATGATAGATGGATGGATCAATGGATGAATAGATGAGTGGATGGATGATGTGTACATGTACAGATGGGTGAATAGATAGAAGGGTGGATGGGTGAATGATGGTGTGTGGTTATATGAATGGATGGATGGAATGGCATGCCAATTAGTCTGCTACCCATCAGGCAACCACTGCTCCCATACCACGAAACAGTACCACCAGTGGCCAGAAGCATATGAGAAGATGTGTCATGCTCTCCTACAGCGCACTCCCTCTCGACACCTTTCACCTTCCTGTCTTCTCCTAACCCGAATGGACTATGTTCCTTAACTTTCTACAACTTTTTCCCAAGTCGCAACCCCAAATGCCTCAGTCCTTTTGCTTCTTCACCAATATGGGGCAGGGCAGGTCTATGTTGAGCTTTGGCTGAGACATCTGTGCTCCCCCAACACACACTTTCCAGCCAGTCATCCCTACTATCAAACATTCAGCACTGCTGATTTCAAAGTTGCTTCAGATGGCCACACCCTGTCCTTACCACAAAGCTGATCTCTTTCAGAGGAGGATAGACTGACTATTCAAGGGCAGGCTGGAGAGCCATCCAAAAGATGAGCGAATTCATCAGGAAAATCATTCCTGTGCTCATAAAAACGTGATGAGAGCTTCATGGAAACTGCGGTGGGAGAGCAGCAGAAGGTCCTCACGAGCCCGACTCTGTGCTGTCTTTACTCCCCTCTCTGCTTCCATCTAACCATAGCTAACATGACCATGTTTCTAAGCATGGTCCAGGGCTGAGGCTCTGCAATGCTGCTGACCACAGATACGGCCACTGGTACGAAAACAGAGTCATCAGAAGACAAGATGGTGCAAGAGAAAAAAATCTTCATTTGGATAACTACTCCCATTGAGTGAGGCAGTAATTTTCTAGGCCTGCCAGATCTCAGAGTCTTTGTTTCAAATTATCCCTTAGTAGATCAATTCCCAGCCCAAGCAATTTCTCTGCAGAGTCCTCTGTTAGTGTCCCTCTGTAATGATGATGGTCAACTCCATCTGATAATGAATCCATTAAGGAATGGGCTGATGTAGGTATTAGAAGGAGGAGAAAATAATTTGTGTACAGGTCCACTTAAATCATCTCATCCTAGGAATCTGCTTTCTTAAAGCTCAAACCTATTTCCTTCCCATCCTTCAAATTTTATGCTTTGGATAAGTGATCACGGCCTGGAGGGCAGAAGTGGATCCCAGAATGATTTCAGACATAGGAGGAGCTGGAGGAGCGGGACAGGAAGTGCATGAACTCAATCAGTCCTCAGCATCAGCCTCCCCTGGCTGCTCCTCCTACAGTCAATCCAGAGGGTAGTGTGTACACAAAAGAGACACTCCATGGCGGTTACTTTTATGTCACCTTACTGCACTATGGATGCCCAGATA